ATAAACGTAGTTCAAAGTTTGCAAATGCAAATAATAGAATCAGAACTAGCTAGTCTTTCATTAAACTTAAATACGACACAAAATCTACTTGTTATTAGATGTTTTGAAAACTTGTAAAAGAAGTAGTTGAGCTATCCTACGTGGGAGAAGAAGCCCGCCCCCCCGAACAATGAAAAAAGTCTCGCCGCTCCAGTTGACGCGGTGGGAGGCATATGACGCCCTTTCCTATGTAATAGTGATCTCAGCCACCCGCCCACAAAATAGTTTCTTTTTTTTAAATAAAAAAAAATCTTGTCTATTAAGGATTTACTTGTCAACTTGTTGTTCTTAGAACTAACTAAGCCAGGTTTTTGTTGAATTGGAACATGGAACTATCCACTAAAGAATCAACTTGTCAACAGGCTTCGAAGAAAAGCACAACAACAAAATCTTTTGAAGAAAAGCAGCATGAGAATTCACAGGGAAAAAAATGAAGAAACACAAAACTTCATTATTTGCTCATGTGGTGGGATTATGCGCAGGGAGCTAGGGTTCATGTTTCCAATCGCTCAGCCTTATAATGCTATGTAACTCCAATGTAACCAACAAAATCTTTTGAAGAAAAGCAGCATGATAACTCCAAAAGAAAAGAATAAAGCTTGGGTTATTTGAGGTATCATCTCACAAATAAAAAACACAAATAAAGAATGAAATGATCAAGTGTCGCATCTCAAGCATTTTTATTCTTTAAAATTTATTTTTACCATAACATATATATCAAAATAATTTAAATATATAATTTTTTTTAAATTAATTAATTTTAAAAACCCCACCAAGCACTTGAATTTTTAAAATAAATGTAAACACCATGTTACACTGACTAAAAAATTGTTTATTTTTATATTTTAAAAATATTTTTTAAAAATATTAATAAATTATGCACGCAAATCTCCTCGAACATGCATTAAAAATTGAGTGAGTAGTTCCAGCTTGTGCATGAACTTTAATTTTGAAATATTTTTATATTAACAAAAAAGGTTTGTATCTTAAAAAATACCGTATGAGTTCATAAACAATGAATTAGTTAAATAAACAGTTCAGTCAAATTAATCATATTAATTATATCTATTTGTGCATGCATAGAGTATCATTTTAAAAAAAATTATTTTAATTTATATCGGATCGAGTTTTCATACAAAATCTATACACAATCACCGAATCTCAATATCACATTTTCTCAGTAAATAGATTATACATAGAATTAAGATAAAGAAACAATGTTTATAGTTATCAGATTTTGCAATATATCAAAAATAAAATATTGCAATACAGTATCAAAACAATACACTTCGATAATATTAGGCGTATAAGATTGTATATAACAATATAATTACAACAGCAAATATATATATGTCAGCACCCATATCGCAATTATTTAAATTGAACAGCATGACCGAAGCTTAATGACTGGTTAATTAATTATTTGTATGCGATTTGTAGATAACACGAACGCTTTTATTTTTCCTAAATGATCTCGAGAGTTGGATGCTTCCTAACACGCTTTTATTTGCTAACAGGATATATAGAGAAGCGTGTCTACAAATAAAAGCGTGTTAGGAAGCATCAAACTCTCATAGAAGTCCTGTGTGCTTGTCTTGAAAGGAGTTGGTTACAAAAAAAAAACGCTGTATAACTGTCCCAATCATTCATGCCATGAGAAAACCAACAGGAATATTCTACTAATAGAAGTCTGGGAGGGTATACGGCTAACTCCTGTGCTCCAGTCGCTGGACCATAACGCAACAGGTTTTGTCGCATTTGGTTACGGCAGAAAGATGCTAAAAAATAAAATAAAAAATTTGTCTTTTGTTTAAAAGTAAGTGTGATTGGTCTCTCTCATTTTTACTTTTTTTATATGACTTATTAATACAATTCAGCTTCATTTTGTTCAAATTAATTGCATGCTCCAAGGGATGGATTCAATTTACAGTGAGAAAACACATCTAGCTTGATATTACTATTGTGGTCTCACCACTAAGCACTTTGTTGTTTTAATTTTTAATTTTCTCAAATATAATCTACGTAAAAATACTAAATGAAAATTTTTTAGCTTTTGAAATTGGAAACACTTAATTAATAAACTTTTAAAATATGAGCACTCGTCTAATAATAAAAACAAAAACTATATGCTTAAATAAAAATAAAAAGTGTAACGCTCAAGTAGAGAAAAAAAAAACACTCGGATAATAAAAATAAAAAATCCAATGGTCTTTATATTTTCTCACTTAAAAACGGGTTTTATATTTTATCTTTGATATGTCATGAGAGTATTCCATAACACTACCCGAATATTCTATCAGTATTACACTAAAAAATAAAATAAAAACACATTTCTGTAATATACTAAATTTAAGAACTCCTCCAAGCATTTGAATTTCCAAAATATATGTAAATTAACACCCCCGTTACATTGACTTGAGTCGAGGAAAAAAAAAAAAAAAACCCACCAAACACCTCGGAATTAATCCGCATCTTGCTTTATCTTACCTAATTACGGATGTTCGCCATCGCCAGCATTACAAATAGATGCTTATTATGCTCAACTCACACAGCACTCAAAATCTTAATCCTCTCCAGCTGTCCCTTTGGTCAGTCACTTGGTCTTGATAAATGGCGAGATTCTCAAAGGTACTCAGGAAGACTTATATTAAAAAGAGACTCTCAGTGCCGACTGGGTTTCTCAGCTCTCTTCCATCTTTTAATGGTGGTGGTCATGCTGTAGATTTTCAAGCTGTAGATGGAAGTGGCCGTGTTTGGGCCTTC